AGTCGGCAACGTTGTTGTCTTCGATCTCTAAAATTGATCTTTTCGCGTGCCGATTGTCCAAGTTTTCTTCGACTCCCCTCGTCGAAAGTAAATTCTCGATTTAACACAAGAGAAACAATCCGCGGAAATAATTCACAGTCTACCGATTTATAAATCGACAACTGTAAATGCAGGTAATATTAGCACCTTGAACTAGAGCGATCAATGTCTTTCATTTTACTTGTATAAAGATAAGTGTTCCATATATATCATATTCTATCTTCTACCTCTCTAAGCCACTGGCGCGGTCGTTCCAGTTTTATATTATCGTTCACGCATCACTGCTATATTACATATATAATTATTTATTAAATATTCAATTTTTGGTGCTAATTCGTAACTAAGTCACGGTTAACGGGAATTACTGATTGGCGAAGTTGCGCTTAGAGCGCAATTAGATCTCGCCTTGCAAATGCGCAATCGAGACGAATCGTTACGTGGCCAGATGAAAACGCGGTTATATCATTTTGCGAGACGCGAGTCGACGCCGCGGAATTTTTCGCGATTGCCTCGCGACTTGAATGCCCGACGCCGAGCGTTCCGCATAATAGCCTTATCGAAACGTATGCGACATGTCGGTACCGCCGTCCACGTTGACTGACCCGGCCTACTTTTTCGCCACCATATACAGGCGAAGAGACATCGCTCGTGTTACGACTCGGAAGTTTCTCCCCGTGAAAATTTGTTATCTTACTTTTGATACCGGGCCGTGTCGAAAGCACACCACGTGGACCCGCAGAATCGCTATGCTTTCTAAACGAGAGAAAATCACCCAAGTTGCCAGTACCGCGTACCGCCCGTGGATCGGATTCTTTTCGTAATTAGGATGTCTTCTGGCAGAAATGAGTCATTTTGATTGTGCCCTGCATCGTGCACCGATCGCATCTTTTGCTTGTGTCTCTTTAAAATGTTATGTACCTGTTACTCTCCTATCCGTACGTTATCAGTCAATCAAGAAAATGTTAAAATCAATTACTATAATATCATCTTGAGATACGCGATAATGCAGATTAATAAGACGTGTGAAATTGATGGCCGAATTTAAAAAACGGGCATCTAACATTTTTGTCTTGAAAGTTGACAGCCGGGCGCTTTCGTGCATGCAACGTGAAGGAGATAAAAATACCGTCAGCGTAAAATATCGGACACCGGTATCCGCCGTAGCACTCAACCTATTAAACGGCACAGCCAATGGCGCTATTGCGCAAAATGCGCGCGATTAAAGCGGAACCTCTGGAATTGGCGCGAACGGACGCGAGTCGTCGCATCCGTGACAATTAAGACGCTCGTTCTGCACACGCGATTCGGTGAAAGTATGCTGTCCAATTGCGAACAATTTGTCGTCTGGCGGATGACAATGGAAAAGTGAAATCATTCTCATGTCTTCTGCTGCGACAACGGCATGTCCTTCGACCGTGGCGCGTCGCGTTTAAGAAAAAGCAACATAAATTTCAACCAATTCGAATTGCCTGTGAAATTATATAAAATTACGATATTCGAATTATGGTGTTTGCACGAAGAACGTGAAGTATCTGAATCGCTCTTTTTCATCCCTCACTCAATTTCATTTTAATTTTTGCAATAAGACAAAACTGGAAATTTTTATTCATTAAGATATCGTAGCATTTAATATGTGAAGCTCTTTTTATACATTGCGGTGGTACTGTTCCTCTATTTTAAATAGGTTGTTTTAAACTTACATAAACCGAGAAGCGAAGAATACTTCTTCTCAAGATTAACGATTTATCGTGAAAACTGGGTTTCGCATTAAGGTTAACGATTTCTTGTGAAAGGTATTTTTCGGTAAATTCTAGGATCGTCGCGTCTCGCGAAATTTGCAATTGTATTTCTAAACCTATTTATATACTTGAGCAGATTAATAGAACACAAGAAAGCGTAGTAAAATGAAAAATAGAATAAAATTTTGATAAAGTAAGAATAACGCGGGAGATAGCAAGTAGACGTATACGCTGCGAGATTCACGGACTAATTGGCTCGCCCCGACCTATGCATGATTAAGGTACGTGCTGGAAATTCGGCGGACCGGCAGAATGAGAAAGAGAGAGAGAAAACCGCTAAGTTAACTTCGTGCGATCGTAGCGGACCGTGATTTTGATTACACGCACCGGCCGCTTCCGCGCCGTACTTTTCTATCCAGAAAGTCCGTGAACCTGATCAAGGTACAGGTGCAAGTAGAACAAGAAAGCGGACAGGTATACGTACGCCATCGACCTGCCCAGCTTACAACCTCGCGCGCTGCGGTGATCGTGAATCGCCACTGTCATCCGGCTGTCGCGACCGCTACCATCGCGACGTAATGCCTCCCGCTCATTTCTCTCCCCTTATTATCACACGGAAAAACCGGCTAAGGCAAAAATAACTAAAATTAAAATGTTGCTGTATAAATAGTAGGGGCATCTACATTGTTTTGTGTCGCAACATTCACTAAGTTTACTGCACAAAACGCATATAGTTGTCTCCACTACTTATCATACCAATGTGAGTATGACAACCACAGATATAGCTGTCCCAAATATTACTATTTATTGGGGTTGTTCCAACCCTAATCAGACATTGTGGTAAATATATCGTCGGTCTCTCCGTGCAGCGTTCTCCAAATTATACAGTACGCGCGGGGATAACTGCCTCGATTTTTCAAGGAAGTCACGGTCGTTTCATCGAGTGTAAAAGATAAAAGGGCTATCTCTCCATTTCAAGATCAGACGCCTTGAACAATTTTATAGCGATTCTTTCAGGTCATAACAATATATTGCCTCGGAGCATAATTGTAGGAACTATATCTATAAATGTCCCCATTTCGATAATTATCGAATACCACCGATGGCTTACGATTTCCAAGAAACGAGCAGGATATTTGACAAAACCATTAATATTAATTAATTTATGTAAAATTCATAATTCATTATTATTATAACCTATCAATATGTAAATTAATCAATTAATTTATGTTAATGAATTAATGTATACACACAAATCAATGATCAATCACCGGTTGTTTAGAAATTAACGATCGTTGATAAGACTTATGCGCTCTAGTTTCCGACCACGTATGCGTAAACGCGAACGTTTGGCTTCCGTAATTACCTCATAATGGAAATTGCTGCAATTGGCATACGACGAGGTCTAGTTTTAACACAGTTGTCTCTCCGAATATACTGCACTTCCCGCACGGCTCTATCTTTTCCTATTTTTACACAATGAAATGCGATACCTTGTTAGCGCGCCCCTATATCTGAGATACCTGTTTACGAATTTACAGTCATTGTCTTTTCGTCATTACATTAATTGTACGTTTACTCAATCGTTAACGCGCATGAGATTCGTGCCACGGAATCAAATGCACTCGATGTTAACGTAGGTATTAAGTTAATGACGAAGCAATGTGTTTAGAGTTGCGTGTCAAATTGGGGAAAGCATGGAAGAATACGATAGATGCGCTGCTACGAGTATAAATCGTATTTAGAACGATCTCCCGGCGGAAGTGAAGACATTGGTCTCGGTACGCAGATTCCCGTAATTACCCCCCTGCAATTCTGCCAAATCAGAATACAAAATTGCCCGAGGGAGTCGGCCGGCTCGTCGCCCGACCTTCCGAACGTGAGCCTGTATTCGATTCGACGAATGTTCCTTTGGCTAACAGTACACGCGTTTTCGGTCACGTTTTTTTCGTCAGCATATTTTCAAGCATTATTAATGTACGGTATCTGTGCCGGCACAAAGGCATCTACAACGATTCACATTTCGCAAGGGACTAAAACTCATACGTTGATTATAGCATGCCGTTAGAAAAGAGATCATTTTTGCTAAACAAGTTGGAAGAATTAATATGGATAAATCAAAATAACACGCGCGCGCACACAAAGTATTGGCGAAAACGTCGTAAAATGAACTTAAAATATTTCAAATTGTACAATCTGTTCTCTTTTGACATATTTCACTTAATCTAATTTATAATTTAAATGTGAGTTTAAGTGTTCAACTTATAAGTTAAAAGTCTCGCTAGAATTTATCTTTACGCGTATTTGCCTATCCCGAAAGGAAATAAATGGTTCGTAAAAGAGAAAGGGGAAAGAAGAATGTAGCGAAGAGTCTATTTGTTCTCGTGCATCTTCTCGTCTTCGATGCAGTAGCGAACCTCAAGGGTGTAGAATTCGAAAGTGCTTTTCTCAAGGATACGGCCCGAGATTTTACGGAACTTCGAGTGTCGTAAATCGTGTTCGATTGGCGTTGTGTGAAAGGTCGCAACGATCGATGACATTCGTGGAAATTTTAATACAGCCTCGCTTCCATCGGGACGAAGAGTGTGACGACGAGAGGGTGGCCGCAAAGAGAAACGTGCTCGCGTCATTTGTAAATCCAGAAAGGCCAAAGCGTGTCCGGTAGAAGTATGTCGCTTGCGAGGCGTCGTCGAAAGAAACGAGTCGAGATGGACGGAGAAGACATTGAGGAAGACAGCGAATCGTTGCTTTTTGTCACGTTCACGCGTTGCGCGGCTCGGTTAAAACTTTAGTGGGATCCCCGTTATAAGAACCGCATGACTGTTTCGAAACGCGCGTACGTGCAAGGTCTCGGAAAGGGCACGTGTTTCATGTAAATCGCCGGCACCCTTGTTGCAATGCAGCCGAAGAGTCTTGAAACTTGCGACACATCGCATTCACGTTACTCTGTTCGTATACTTAACGCGCAAATTGAAAAAGTTTCGTTCAAACAATCATGCCTGTATCCTAATGTAAAGTTTGCCAAGAAAATAAATGCGATCGTTTTCGCATTTATAATTAATCGCTCCCGCACATTAATTCTTATATCCAGCTTCTTGTCTGTATTTACGTCGCTTGCATTCATACCTTGGATTTCTATTCTGAATTTTAAACGTGTATCGATCGTACGCGTGATAAATCTTTTCCTTTGAATCTGTTTTCGAGACACGCTTCTGTTATCAGGGTGTACGGAGTGAAGCACCGTTGGTTGACAGCAGCGCGTTGCCTTTGGAACACAGATCTGTCTATGGAGCTCCGGCTCAGTACGGGCCACCGGCCGCCAACGAGGAGAATTGGCCGTTGGCGTCACCCGACACCCCGCAGATCAAGCACCTGCAGGTGCAGTGCGAGAAGACACACATGCGGGTGAACATTGAATTCGATCGACCGTTCTACGGTATGATCTTCAGCAAGGGCTTCTACTCGGATCCGCACTGCGTCCATCTGAAACCCGGCACCGGCCATTTGAGCGCGACCTTCGAAATTTTCCTCAACTCGTGCGGCATGAGCTCGTCGGCGAATCACAACGTGGCTGCCTACGGCGCCCCGACGCCGTCCGGCAGCTACGTGGAAAATACAATCATCGTGCAATACGATCCGTACGTGCAGGAGGTGTGGGACCAGGCGAGGAAGCTGCGTTGTACTTGGTACGACTTCTACGAGAAGGCGGTCACCTTCAGGCCATTCCAGGTCGACATGCTGCACGCCGTCACCGCCAACTTCCTCGGCGACAACTTGCAGTGTTGGATGCAGATACAGGTCGGCAGAGGTCCCTGGGCCAGCGAGGTGTCCGGCATCGTCAAGATCGGTCAGACCATGACGATGGTGCTGGCTATCAAGGACGACGAGAATAAGTTCGACATGCTGGTGAGGAATTGCGTCGCTCACGACGGCAAGAGGGCGCCAATTCAGTTGGTCGATCAATATGGTTGCGTGGTCAGGCCGAAGATAATGTCCAGGTGAGTTCCAGCGTTATTTCATGTCGCTGGTGATCGATTACACGTTCTTCCCAATGAAGAAGGCTACAAAGTCACGTTTCTTCCGCAGGTTCCAAAAGATCAAGAACTTCGGGCCGAGCGCGTCGGTCGTTAGCTTCGCCTACTTCCAGGCCTTCAAGTTCCCTGACAGCATGAACGTCCACTTCCAGTGCGTGATTCAAGTCTGCCGGTACAATTGTCCCGAGCCCAAGTGTGGACATCCTGGTCTCGAGTACGGCGCACCTGTCGGTGGTGGCATTACTCACGAATACGGCGCACCGGTCTCGCAAGGTCTTTCTTCGGAGTACGGTGCCCCGCCTGTGCCCGAATATGGCGTACCGCCGGCTTATCCTGATCCGCGACATCCCAGCGGACCGGCCGGAGCGTACAGGTGAGAAAACGAACGAGCGCTAACATATAATTAGCGAAGAAAAATTTTCTATAAAGTCTGTTACAATCTTGACACTTGTTTCACGCTAAAGAAAGTCTGCTGGATTCCATTCAGATTTTTTGCTGAGAGATTATAATATTTCTCTGAAGAGGATATTTTTTTTATCTTACTTAAAGATATATATATATATAATTCAAGATATTCTCAGGATTTGCTTTACTTCCATGCATGTTTCATGGAGATATTTTCTGGATATCTTGTACGAGGCTAATTGACTCATTATAAAATTGAGATTGTTTAGTAGCAGAGACATAAATTGTTGCAAAACAGAAAATATAAATTAATTTCTGGCCGCAGCGAGCCGAATCCGGACGTGGTTCCGGCGCCACAAGCGCAGACCTCGTCCTCCTCGCCCAGCTCGACGCCGGGTGACGCTACGGCCAGCAGCTCATCCCAAAGTCCCCAGGATAATATCCACCTCCCGCCGCCTCCTTTGCCCGGCCATTCGGCGGCGTACCAGACTGTAAAGCGAAAAGGAACGGCTGGCACGGAGGAGCTTGAGGGTAATCTGGCTATCCTCGGAGGTCGACCGAGATCGGTCGAAGGTTTCCCGGCTGAGCTCAGAGGCGCTAGGAGGCGGAGGCACGACGAGCCGCACGAGCTCGAAGACGATGATAGCGTAAGTGTTCTAAACAGTTCCCTGCTTGTCGATCGACGTCGTTTCGACAAATCATTTCTCACTGGGTTTCTTTATTTTCACATCTTTATCGGTACGCGTTAAAAATAAGAATGACGAGGGATATTAATAGAGTGTCTACATTTTTTTGAGAGATGCTTTAAAGAATGTACGATACCATTTCTTGCCGAGACTCGAGATATTTGCCGAGCTATCGACGTAAGCCGTCAACTTTCTCAATTTACGACGAGCGATGTAGCTCGTCGCGAATACATTATCAATGACGCGTTCCACGGTACCGTTCAGTATCCTACTATGACGCGAATTCTCCGGTGTTACAACGGTTACCCTCGATTTTCAGAATATCTATCATACGGTGACCCTGTTCTCCACCCACGTGTACAAACGAGCGGCGCAGGAGATGACGGACGTCAACACCTCGAGGGTCATCCAGGTGGTCGCGCCGGGCGACGTCAACTTCGCGCTCGGCACAAACAACTCCAGCAACGACACCACCGTGGTCATACAGAACTCCAGCGCGTCCTCCGACCCGGAGACGATCTGCATGAGCCTGCCAGGCTTCGTGGGCGGCTTGGTGATGCTGCTGCTGGTCGTCGTCGTGGCCTCCCTCGTCGCGGCCTTCCTCTTCGTCAGGGTGCGCGCCGTGGACCGCAAGAACGCCGCGATAGGCGGCAACAGCTTCGTTCATCCGGTGTACGCGACCGAGAATTGCAGCGTGCCGAACCCGGAGTTCGTCAAAGTCGCCAACTGAAGAGGCGTGTACGGTGCGCAAAATCAAAAAGACTCGCCGCAGAAGAGAAGGTAGAGATCCCCCCTCCGGAGGATCGTCGACCTCGACGACGGGCGAAATGCTTCGGGACCGACGCTATCTCATTCGAAACGAAACTCGTGACACGACCACACGTCGGAGATTCTCCTCGTCGAAAGTCGCGCAACCACGTTTCTCTCCTCTCTCTCTCTCTCTTTCTCTCACCTCTTTCATCGTGCTAGCCGGTAGCTTCGTGTCTAGTCTAGTCGCGTCAATCCGCGCTCGTCGAATCGAGAGAGACAACGACTAGAGATCGATATCGATTGAGAGGGCGCGAATTCGTTCCAATGACGAAGGACGAGGGGGATCTTCGAGTAGAGCGTGTAAATAAGAGGCCCGGAAGACACGAGCGAGTGGCGAGGAAGTGGCGAAACGGAGGGGAGAGGAAGGTAAACGGGGGGGAAAAGGAGCCACTGACGCGTGTTCCACCGATCGTCCACCGGTCGGAATCAGCTTTTTTTTTCTACCAAATCATCGCGATCGATGGAGCGCGCGCCACAGTGATGAATATCGCGAGTCGATCTCCGTTGACGCTTCGTGATCACCGCGGCAATCGTTACCGCGTAGCAATCAACGTAATTTCCACGTCACGACGATTACTCGGCGGTCCGGCCGACGACAGCTCGGTATCAGGGAGCGAGAGATCGATCGCGCAATCGCCAGAGTAGTCTCTAAGGAGGGCATTGTAAATAAGCCGCGCAGGTAGTCAGACGGCCCTTCGGGACCCGCTTCAGGTCTCGCGTCTCTCCGATCACCGTGTGTACGCGCTATTATTTATACACGCATCGTATACTTGAACGAGTGTTTCTTCTCATCGCCTTCGTTGTACCTCATCGCGTTTCCGCCGTGCCCTATCGCGCTGGCGACCTCCGCGGAGAACCGCGGAGCGCGAGCTCGCGTCGCGACGCTCGACGTCATACGCCGACGTCGACGGCGGTGCTCGGTGGTACCGTTATTTCGCGTTCTTAAGTCTCAAGCGGTTCACCGAGCGTTCCCGGTAAACATGTTTGTCCCGAAATTGGGCTGCGGAGTCGTCTAAACGCGACCGCTCGTCCTCTGAAAGTTTAATTTAGGGCGGGAAATCGACCGTGGGACGAGGAGCCCTCGCTAAGCCGCTTAAGATGCAACGAGAAGACTCTATTTATTATATCTCCCTCTCTATCCCCTTTTCTAACTCTGCATCCTGATCGACCTAACTTAATTTATTGATCAAAATTGTACGACTTATTACCCTTTCTCTACTTCGCTTAGTACTTAGGATATCCGTCGAGGAATATTCCCGGAATTTGGGAATATGTTTTACGTATGTGTTTTAAGCACACACACACACACACACACACACACACATGCATTAATACATGCATACATACAGAAACGTTCACACAGATCGACACATACATGTACACGCGAAACGTATGAAATTACACATGCAATGCGCGAAATGTGTTGTATACGTTATTATACCAGCGCGAAAAATGTATCCACAAAACATCCGTTACAATTAATTGTTTGAGAATTATTTTAATTACATGATCATTTTTATTTATATAAATCTGCGCGTTCCGCTTTTTCTTGACCATTCTTCCCACGTTTGAAACAGTAAGTGAAAAGTATCAAAGTTCCAGAGTACTTTGTATTTGTCTCTTCAACCGCGGAGCTCAAGATATCCAACACACATTTTCGACTTTAACGGGAGGCGCGGCTGGTCTCGGAAAAAGGTTTGTATTTAGCGATCATAGCTTTACGCTCTTTCGCGAATCTCTTTACTTTCCGATACTCCTTAGCTAAATCGTACAGACTGTCTTCGGATTCCAATTTCTTGGAAAATTTCTCTTGGAATCTGCATCTGCGCGACGAACGAGTAATTGTTGCGTCTAGTGTTCAGTTTGAAAATTGTGTTATAGGTTTACCTCAGCATATCGATTTTCCAGTCACTCGCTTCCACCGAATAAGATGCTATTTCTTTATTAAAATTCAGGACTGTACCTAATTCTATCCTATAAAAGCAATATTAGCAGATGCAATCAACTTACACAGGTGCAAGATTATAAAATTTTTCATATTGAGACAATCGCGAAACCTGACGCTCTTATTTCCAGCAGAAAATCGTAAACTGATATTCCTTCGATCGACGATTCGCAGGCCGAGAAATTTATTTAATTTTATGCAAATCACTTTTATGTGACTAATGTCTTCTTTAGGCAGCTTTTGATTGTCGTTTGCTCTAAAGACATTAATGAATTAATTGCAATTTTCTACAGAGCGACGGGTATATTTTATATGTAATTCCCTGATTCGTTAATTTTCAAAGCGTACGATAATAATATTATATAATTTGTAAAACGTTATTTTAAAGGGAGCAATCTATCAAAGAGAGAGATGCGTTTAACAAAATGTACGGTTGCCGTAATTCATTCCCAGCGTGAGTATTTCTAGACGATATGTGGCGTAATTAGAATGCTTTGTTTGGATAGAATTCGCTCTACTTTTTTGCTTGACATACTTGTTCCCGACCTCTTCTTGTCGTTCCTCGACAACAGGTTTCTGCACTTCGGCGACCTTCTTTTCCTTATTTCTCGAGCTGGACGGTGATATCGGTGTCTTAACATTTCCGGAACTGCGAAGCCAATCAAACGTAATCGGAACGTGATGTGAACATTGTTGCTCCATATATGTACGTACATACATAAATCTCTGAAAGCACGTCTCACCTTTCCACCGATTTACTAGTCGGAGGGAAATATTCCATTCGTAGCCGATCGGTTAGATTTTCCTGCGTTTTTAAGAAAATAATCGCTCATTTCGTGCAATTTAACAGTAGTAATTTCAATTACCAAATCTTGCACAAATAATGTATCGATAATCGACTTATATTCCGCGTTGTTCTCTTTATGAGCAATTTTTTAAACCGTTAGAATAAATTTGTTATTCCAATTACAAATTTTAGTGATAACGTGAAAGTTCCTTTTACATATTTTCAATCCGTGATCCGCAATTTGACGGAGAAGTTAAAGTAGATGAAAGGTTTTAGCACCGTTCGCTTATTCATGATTGATCGAAAATCTATACTGAAGAAAGTGGGAAAAACTCCGATAAACATCGTTCGCGCGCACACACCGTGTACACAGTCTCGAGTATCGACTCCCTCGGATTCGCGTTCCAAGTCCAAACGAGGGGCAGACCGGCGGGATTGTCCGTAAAAATTCCACCGATCTGGTTGTAGGACAGCCTGTAGAAGTAATTGGAGTCCTGAATTGGCGAGCGAGAGAGCTACCTCGACAGTAATTAAACATTCTTTGTAAATTCTTTTTCCGAACCTCGCCGCGCCGTCCATGTCGAAAACGACGCCGTATCCCATGGTGTCGAATATCGCCAAGATCTGAGACTCCCTCCCGATCGCCAATGCATCTTTGCCTCCTGGCGTGAACACAGTACACATATCGTCTTGAAATCGATAGCAGCGATTTTTTTAAAACCCATACGAAAGCCGGTCCGAGACCGATTGGTATTTACGAATGCGATCGTCGCGAATCGAAACGCCTTGGCCAACGGATTGCCAAAGTTAATAAATCTTGAACGATATTACGACTGGAGTATCTAATTATCTCTTTCCGTCTTTAACTTTTCGATAGACAACGATAAATTCGTAACTTAGCTGTATTTCGTGTTGCGTATATATGTACAGGATATTCCAGAATTACCAATTAGTTAAATAATAGATGAAAAAGGATGACAGTTGTGTCTTAATATTGAAACTGAGAATTTGTATAATATTAAAAATAAAAAATGTTCATTCTAATAAAATCTGGACTTCAGTTATTTTAATAATTTAACAATAATGTAATTTGAAGCACTTAATTATTACGTAATTAATATGCAAATTAAGTCAGGATAGTGGACGACTCATTCCATTTACTTTAAAAGACAATTGACAAACCTGTCAAGGGATCTACAGTTGTGAAAACATCCGGTAGTAATGGAATACTCTGTATAAATCGCATTATGTAAATAACTCAATTACATTTCCGGTTTTCTGGTCTGTAGACTCTAATAGCCAATACGCCGTTGGGATAAAACAACTCGCCAGAGCCATCGGGATGGAATCTCGAAAATAGCGTTAATCCATCGTCGTAATATTCCGTACCTCTGTGCCTGTATTTTTTGAACCTAATGTTCAAACAAATTACTGCATCGTTTACCGATTAATTGCACAATATCACGTGGCTCGCGCTACAGCAGATTAAAATGCATGCTTGTTTGTGATGCCGTCCCATTAACTTCGTTCGTCGGCCTAATTGTTTACTCGTTAGTAACTAATCAAGTGCGAAGTTGGCTGTGTAACATAATTTATTTAGCCCGCTATTTAGCCTGCTATTTAACCCGTTTATTTCTAAACTGCTTTAATTTGGTATTAGCGCGCGACTAATTTGGCTGATGAACGGTACTTGTTATCGCTTAAACAGGTAAATTAGATTAATCTGTCTTTCATAAATTTGGCATTAAAATATCGTGCTACCGTAATCTTACGAGTTATCTTGAGCTAGGCTTGTTACCATTTGAAGCATATTATTCGTATATTTTACGCCTGTATATCAGTTTGCGCATCTGGATATCACCTACCAATCTAGACCGGGCTTCGCCGGTCGGGCTTCATATCGCACGATCTTCCTCATGATTTTGGTAAGTGGCAATCGGGTCCAACCGAGCTCCACAAAGTGCGCGTTCGATAATTGGTATTCGATCGGGTTTGAAGGGTCTATACGAAACGGAACAGGAATCTTCCTATAGTATCTCTCTCTCTCTCTTTCTCTCTGATAACGAGAATCGATCGTGTTGCATTGTTCCGCGATACGCGATGATAACGCGATTCGCAGTGGTATTAGAGACGAGTGCTGGAAGCGATCTCAATTAACTGCAAGCCAACGTTCGCGTTTTATCAACGGCATTATGTATAAAATCGTATCGAATTCGATACGTTGTCCGCGCAACAAATTTTCTATGTCTCACTGAGCACAATAGAATTTTCTTTATCGTAAATATACAATGAAAAAAGTATGCAACAAGACTGATTAAACAAGACCGTGTCCTCATGAACGCTATATTGAATAGCACGTTCAACTTTATGTCGTCAAAGTGTTTTTAAAAAAGATTTTAATAACGTCGGTCGTCGATGACCACCGAGGCAGGCGACGTGTTAGCTTTGTGTTTGGACCGAGAGATATATTTCCCATAATTTGTGCAGCGTTGTTTTTCGGACGAGAATATATGTACTTACTAGCTGTCCGTTTCCTCGTTTCTTCGGGATCGTTTCCTTCGTCGGTTGACGCACCTTTGCGCTTTCCGTCGCTCGCAGGAAGTTTTCCCTCTTCATTAACGACGGAGCGTCCCATTTCCGCGTCACCAACCGAATCCGTCGTTCTCTTACTTCCAGACTCCTTATTCTTACTTAGAAACGCCGTATCTGCCTGCTCGTCCTTATCCCTCTCTTCTTTCGTCTTATCTCTACGAGCAACTGGATTTTCCACGTTTTCGTGGCGACCATGCTCATCCTCGAGCTCATGCTCGCGCCTTTTGGCCGGTTTCCTCGATATCTCTATCGTAACGTTCCTCTTCTCAACTCGATCCGATCGGTCGATCTTCTCTGCGCTGTTATCCGACAATCGCGTCTCGCGTTCTTCCCCGCGACGTTGTTGATAAGGATTCTTGCCGGGATTTCCGCGCTCGCCGCTTTTCTCCTTCTTCTCTTCCTCCTCCACCGCCATCGCGTCCTCCGTATCTCTGCCTCCTCTTCTTTTTTCAGCCGCAATCTGCGATCTGTTCGTTTCTTCTTGCACATCACGTTGAGCCGTGCGGCGATCTTGCTGGTTCTTATCTTCGACCTCGCCGAGTTCGCGCTGATGCGGATTATTGTCACGTTTCTCGCGTATTCTTTCAGCCACCGTGTCGGTATTTCTTGTAACGTCGTCGCTACGTGCACCACCTGCCGACGTTTCTGTTTTTCCGCGCCGAAGTGAACGAATGCCATTCGCTTCCGATAGATCTTCGTCAATGAATCCGTCACGGCGATTAGTTTCGACGCTTGATCCGATCGGACGTCCGATTCTTTTCGAGTCACACTCTCCTGAAGCGTCTGGAACGTTACGTTGACGCTTGTCGAATGCTTTCGTCGAAGCATTCCGATTTGTCTTCATGCGGGAGCCAATGTAGTTTTTGTAACAATTCTCGAATATCGCGCGCGTGTCATCCTGACTCGTGGTAATTAATCGTAACCCCGTATTGTTGCAATCGTGGATCCCTAGAAAGCTCTCTTTTCGCGAAGCGCTCTTATTGCAATAATTAACTTCGTGTTTAACATCAGTAAAAACGGCGGAATTCAACTTCGATATGTCCTGCGAGAAGAAAATTAATCAAAATCGCGCGAGTAAATCCGTCTATAAAACATGCGGTTTAATTGAAATTACATGCGACGTGTGTAACGCAAGCCATTCCTTCGATAGTCGATCAAGATATCGGGCTTCGACGCAACAATATTTTCTCTAGAATAATACGGAAGTGAATATCGTTCTTGCCTCTGAGGAGGACGCGCAAAACTATTAAATCTTTTGTATCTCGTATTATGTTAATAACTGGTATTTCATACCGCGTATTGCCGAGTTTCATCATTGATAATGCTGTCGCAGAATTTGCAGATTTTTAAATGGAACCGTGTTTCACATGGTTTTTCTCCCCATTCGCGAATAAAATTACTCACGAGATTTAGGAGAGTCTTTGTCTGACTATGCGTCGGCGGTCCTGCAATATTACAAGATATTTTATGCAATGCGAAAAGCATCGTGCGAAAAATGCTATCTCTCGTGAATTAGCGAAGTAGCAATAAAAATAACTAAAGGGATAGTTGCTTGCATAAGTCGTAGCGTTTATATGATTTGTGAGGTAGCGAAATAATTTTATCCAACGTAATATTGCGTTGGCAAGATTTATTCAGCGTATAAAATTGGTACTTGCTAAATTATTTAAATCCGGAAGAATGCACGAGGTATTTATGTTACATTTATGGGCCATAGAAAGTAACTTTTAAATAAATAAATGTTAATTTTTTCTCTTTCTAATTTTATAAATTTATCCCTGAAGAAGTTAAGATTGTTAATTATAAATGTATAGTCTTATATTTAATTATAAAATACAATTTTTATATTTAAAAAAATTGCAAAATTGATGAATAAAATTAATGCATTTGGAAATCAAGTATCACAGATTTTGTTTATGTTAATAATAAATTTGGGAGATTGTGTTCTTTATATAGAATAAAAATCTATTTTCTGTACGGGCAATTATATACTTGATGAGTTTTACTCGTATAATATTTCATTTGAATACTTGTAAGCATTTGGTCGTAGCGCACCATATTCGCCACCGCTTCTTTTATTATCACAGATAATATCTGAAGTTTCTTGGTTGCACGGTAAGTCGGCTAATTTAAATAAAACGGATTCAACCTGAGCTGAATAATTTTTTGTCGACGATGGTTTCACAAACCACTTTATTATAGTCTCAACCTGGAAAAAAAATTGTATACAATTGCGCTTTAGTAGCAGAGACTTCTATTTCAGTTTATTCCTTTATTTCATTTACTTTTTGTTTACTGCATTTACAGTGTTATATATTTTGGAATATTCCTTGATTCAGAATAATATACAAAAAGTAATTGCAAATAAATCTGACTGTTTAATTCCTCCTTTGGATCAATCTTTAAACGTCCAATGATATTATTTTATTCTATTGTTAGTTTCATAAATTATTTATAAATTTTTAATGCTCCTTACGATATTTTTTGGTATAATAGTAAAGAAAATAATATGGAGTATAGCATTAAATTTCGAATAAGGCGTATTGTGTACGCTTTTTCGATTAAAATGTGCAGAGAATAAAAATTGTTTATCCGATAAATTTGTAAAAATCGTTCGGCATACATTTCACTATACAGTTTAAAAACATTAACCAGCGTTAGTACTGTCGATAAATGTTTATTCACTAAATGTTATTTAATTTAGTTTAATATTTTTGATATTTTTCGAAATGCTCGCTTCTGGTGTTTTAGTTAAACGTATCAGTTATCGAATTGCATGTTTTAATATCATACTGATCAGGTTAACGTTTTGATATTGTCAATCGTATTGTATCGCTTGAGAATAGTTTTGATATTTGCACGATAACAATCATTTCGTGTTTAAGTATACTTTAAACGCGAAAATTGATTTTCGATGTCAGCTATTGCGTAAATTGGAAAATGTTTTATCGTATCATATTCGTATATGTTACATCGGTCACAATGCGTAAGTGGGCACACGGATAATTTAATTATCTTTGCATTTCGTCTTCAAAATGATTTTATAATTTTCGCTTTCGCGATTCGGGTTTTATTATTTTTGATAAAATCAATGCATCCTGCATTAAGAGGAAATTACTAAACTGAGGTGTATAAATTTGATAAAACGAATGAGAAATGTACGACTAAAGAAAAAGTACAGTTATGCAAATGTACTTCCAAAAATTTACTGCAAGAGAAAAAGAGAAAATATATAGATTTTACACGAAGGTTACGAAAGAGATATATTACTTTAGTTACATACAGTTTCAAAATTGGTGCTAAAAGGAATAACTAATGTAAAATATTTTACAGGGAGAAAAAGTTACTGCGTTATTGTGCAAATTAATCCTTAATGTCACATTCCTTCCGGCGCTTGAAGACGTTGACGTTCGGTAAGCTTCGGTGCAACAAATCGTCTCACACGTAAGCTTGAATTTTATATGAGGTCAGCTAGAATTTCGCGCAATTTCGTGGGTGATTACGGGCTTCATGGCGAATCTTTCTGGCGAATCAGTCTGCCGTTACACCATTTGTTTCGCCGATACCAATCTTGGTCGTAAATCGTCTCCTCGTGACACTTTTTATCGATAAAGCGAGCCTCCGACAGGCGACAACTGACATTCGTTACGCGAAGTGAGATAACCGCGTTTGTTTCAATTCTCGCGATAACCCGCAGCCGCCTTTATGTTTACAATGTCATTTGCAACGCCAATAAAGTATACAGGCTATTATAAATAAACACGAAAATATAGCTAATGGCACTTGTACTACACAACCAAGTGTGATATTAATACATTTATACGAGCTCCTTTCGTTTAATCGAATTATTAATTGAATCTTAATTATTATTTAATTGAATTGAAGCTTATTCTTAGATGCCAGATACGTGGAATATACGTGTATTTTATCGTGCATATAAAGTACTGATTAGCGCGAGTGGGAAGCTCTTTTTATCAATCACCTTGATTGCTGAGAAGAATAAGAGAATAGGGTGCAAATATTCGCGTTGGTGTGTCTGAAAGTTTTTTTATGACGCCAGATATAATTTATCGGCCACTCCAAACGGGTCCCCGTACTTTTATATGCGAGCGCGCTCCTACGAAACTGCAATATTCATTTGAATACGACCGAAAAAGGGAAGAGAAACGGCGAGAGAAATAGCGTTGCTGAAATCAACATATCCTACGCGCTTTCGTGCCCAGTTTCGAGCGTGTAAAATAAAAGTTTATATGGAAGCGCATTATGTGCGTGCGCGCGATTGCTTACGAGGAAGAACGCAATAGAGACTTCATACATGTTGCAAATTGTAATAAAAATTACTGATAATATCCTAAAATGGTGGCGTAACAACGGACGAAAATGAAATGTTAAAGCATAGTTTCAGTTACGAATTAATTTTCTCGAGTATGACGAAGCAGTTGCGTTCGTGCCCACTCGAAAGTATCACACATCCACTTTTCTATCAATTAATTAAATAATTAAATCATTGGAAAAATTCCTTCGTCATGCATCTACTCACCGCAAAAGCAGTTATACAAAGAAAATGTAATTAATAACGCGTACATTAATAACGCAGCTTATGTATTTTAACGCGAGTCACGAGAACGTTTACGTGAATAATGATAGTCGTTCATGTAACGGTCGGTATACCCGACCGTCGATTATCCTGGTATTTACGAAGTTTTATACGGATCAAATTTCCACATTTGAATGACATAAATTCCGGGAATACGAAATCGCTATCGTAGTATAAGAATAATCGTATACTATAAACGATCTCGCGCACGGCGCTGTTACAGAACGGGAGAGGTTCACGTAGAATTTTTACGAGCTTCCAGAACCATCGCAATGGTCTTCCGTCCCACGGGGGTCGTACATGTGCCGGCGCATATATACTCTAGATTAATATAATATCGCGAGGCGCAATGTTAATATCGTCACGTGAGTGCAGCGGCGGCGGTATGCGTCATATGAGGAGGAGCCTTCTTGCCCTTTGCAATAACCGTGAGAGGTAACGAAGCGCGCGTACTCCAACACGCGGTATGTGTGGAATAGCTTTCTACAACAATAGAGAAATTTAAATGCCGCATTTTCCCGGCGGCTTTAAAGGCCGTCTGCGCCGCGCGCTCGAGGAAAGAGTCTGAATTTCGGCGCTACCGTGTCGCGCGAGCGTCCGAGAATGTTTCAAGGACTCGTGGGTGTCAATGAGCAGCCTTGAATGGCACCTAAGTTGGCAAATTCGCGATAAATACTTCGTGAAGGCACTCGAGTCAGATCTTTACAGCCCTGATATGTTCAATGGGAATCCTGGGGCGCTGTTACGTAAATTCCAGAATTTTAGATATTTAATTCTATACCTATTAAATTACTTCGGTATAGTCACACACGTGCGATAATTTTCAGCAAATCTCACGCCACTTTAAAGATTCAGTGTTTCACGTTACGAATTTTTTTGTGATTTTCGGTACGCTGAATATTTTGCATTATTCAACAATTATTAATAAAAATACAATGAGCGGGGGCTTGACAATAATTTAATTGAAATTACGTGGGAGAAGGCTATGCGTTTGTATTAACAATGGTCCGCTGAATACATCTGCATGTGCCGCGGATGTCAACGGGCTGGCAGTTTTATAGGATTGAATACGCAGTTGCATAAAAATTACAGGCTTGATGGACTTCAATCGTATTGATGCTCGCAAATATTACAGAATTACGAGCGAGAGTTAAATATCCGTTCGGGCGTTTTATCCATTTGCACATTTCAGACTTAACTCACTCGCTTAAATTAGCCTCCATGTTTTTAATTGGACAACTGTACAA